GTCCCTGTCCCGTGTCCCTCCCGTGTCCACTCGTGTCCCCTCATGTCCCCCCGTGTCCCGTGTGCTGCTGCAGCGTGTCCCCCCGTGTCCTTGTCCCTGTCCCATGTCCCTGGCCGGTGTCCCTGTCCCCTCATGTCCCCTCGTGTCCCGTGTGCTGCTCCCTCCGTATCCGCCCTGTCCCCCCCGTGTCCCTGTCCCATGTCCCCCCCGTGTCACTCTCGTGTCCCCCTCGTGTCCCTCTGTGTCCCGTGTGCTGCTCCCTCCGCATCCGCCTTGTCCCCCCCGTGTCCCCTCGTGTCCCTCACTGTCCCTGTCCCCTCGTGCCCCTCTCGTGTCCCGTGTCCCGTGTCCCTGTCCCTATCCCTGTCCCCCGTGTCCCTGTCCCTGTCCCATGTCCCATATCCCTGTCCCGTGTCTCCCCCGTGTCCCCCCCCGTGTCCCCCCGTGTCCCCCGCGCTGACCTTGGCCAGGAAGGGGCTCTGTGTCCCGAGATATCGCGACATCAGGTAGAGGCAGAAGAGGTGCCGGTCGATGCCCGCGCCGGTCATGGCGAGGCGATAGAGCTGCTGGTGCTTCTCTGCGGCCGCCTTGAACAGCCGCTGCCGCTCCGAGCGCTGGGGGACCCCGAAATCTGCACCCCGAAATCTGCACCCCGAAATCTGCACCCCGAAATCTGCACCCCGAAATCTGCACCCTGAAATCTGCACCCCGAAATCTGCACCCCAAAATCTGCATCCCAAACTGCACCCCGAAATCTGCACCCCGAAATCTGCACCCCGAAATCTGCACCCTGAAATCTGCACCCAAAACTGCACCCCGAAATCTGCACCCCGAAATCTGCACCCTGAAATCTGCACCCCGAAATCTGCACCCCAAAATCTGCATCCCAAACTGCACCCCGAAATCTGCACCCCGAAATCTGCACCCCGAAATCTGCACCCTGAAATCTGCACCCCAAACTGCACCCCGAAATCTGCACCCCGAAATCTGCACCCTGAAATCTGCACCCCGAAATCTGCACCCCAAAATCTGCATCCCAAAATCTGCACCCCGAAATCTGCATCCCAAAATCTGCACCCCGAAATCTGCACCCCGAAATCTGCACCCTGAAATCTGCACCCTGAAATCTGCACCCCAAAATCTGCACCCTGAAATCTGCACCCCAAACTGCACCCCGAAATCTGCACCCCGAAATCTGCACCCTGAAATCTGCACCCTGAAATCCGCACCCCGAAATCTGCACCCCAAAATCTGCACCCCAAACTGCGCCCCGAAATCTGCACCCTGAAATCTGCAACCCGAAATCTGCACCCCAAACTGCACCCGGAAATCTGCACCCCAGTTCCCGGTTCCCATCCCGGTTCCCGGTGCCCGTCCCAGTTCCTGGTGCCCGTCCCAGTGCCCCATCCTGGTTCCCGTCCTGGTTCCCGGTGCCCGTCCTGGTTCCCGGTGCCTGCCCCAGTTCCCGGTTCCCGTCCCGGTTCCTGGTGCCCGTCCCAGTTCCCGGTTCCCGGTTCCCATCCTGGTTCCCGGTGCCCGTCCCGGTTCCTGGTGCCCGTCCCAGTTCCCGGTGCCCATCCCAGTTCCCGGTGCCCGTCCCTGTTCCCGGTGCCTGTCCCGCTTCCCGGTGTCCCATCCCAGTTCCTGGTTCCCATCCCGGT